TCCTCGAAACCATCCGAGAAGAGCTCCGAGTCGGCCACGACGTCAACGAAGATGGCTCCCGGGGGGCCCTGCTGTCCGGAGGCGTCGGTACCGACTACGTAGAGCAAATGACGGCCTTCCGCTAGGCTGCTGGTATCGATGGATCCGGTGACGTCTTCCTGGGTCTCGTCAAAGGCTCCGTCGACAGCATTCAGGGTCGTGCCGCCACCGCTTTCCAAGACGGCGAGGTCGAAGGCCGCCCGCGCGGAAACGATGTTCTGGACGGGTTCATTGCCGAAACCGTTCGAATCAAAACGGGTATCGTCGACGGTTGCTTGGACGGTGACGGTTTGGCCACCCGCTGCGGCTGAGGGCAGTAGTTGCAGGTTGAGGGCGTCGGGGCCGGAGGGTCTTTGGTACGGAAGATCAGCGACCTTGGCGGCGTAGATCAGAGCCTGAAGATTGTCGGGGTAGATCGTGCTTTCGAATCCAGAGCAGCCTTCGAAGAAGGTGTTGCCAACCTCGAAGGTGTATGCGGCCACCCCATACTCGCCGTAGGCGGCATCGACGGTGGTTCCGGAAGCAGTACCGAGGCAGTCCTGGCATACGGAATAGTCGGTGAAGAACCCGAATTTTCTGCCGAGGGTTTGCAGACCATCGTGGTTTGGGCTGTCGTTGTTGGTGCCTTCCCATGGGAATAGGACCAGCTCTCCGAAGCTGTGAATGGAAATAAACACCCCTTGCGCCGTATCCGGCGCGGGGTCGTCCATGTCACCTTTTTGGTCGAGGAAGACCTGGGCCATGTAATCCTCGATGGTTTGTGTTTCCGGCTCCGAGGCCGCCGAGGGCCCACGGTAAGTCTCGCTGCATTCGGAGCCGCTCGAAGCCCCGCCACCCCAAAAGAAGGTGGAGTTACGGTTGAGATCGATGCCGCGATTGTTGCTGTTGGAGCAGAAGTCGTTGTTGGTGTTTTTACGCCAGGACAACCCGGTTTCTGCTTGCTTCCGCCCGTCGGGATTTTGTTGGGCCACAATGTGGATTTCACGATGGTCCAAGAGCCAGGTGGCCTCAGG